AGGGCCTTTTTGAAGAGTTTTTGGTATGGTAAGGCAGAATGATAGGAAATTTACCTGATTCTATATGTTAGCCTGTTGCTAAGGGAGGTAAATTATAGATAAGCTTATGTATTGTCATCAGATTAATTCAATTCAAATCCAGGCCCTGACAGATATTAAAACATGGCCATGTGCTCCAATATATGAACTTTCACCTTTTATTGCCTGGAATCTAGGTCAGTTCCACACTATACCACTATAATTCTGAGTTTCCTACTCCTCCTCCTCTTCCCACCAGAACTCAGACTTTGACTTCCATCAACTTATCTTTCTCAGAATAAGGGCACCAAAATAAGGCTGGCTCAAAACTATGTCATTGAGTTTTGACCCTGTCTCCCACTCTTCCCCTTTACAAATCTCTATGTGTTGTCTTCCTCCTATTGAGGTCAGGGATTCTTTTTCTTACTTGTATTTGTATCTTCAGATATAGCACAGTGCCTGACATACAGTTAGTGTTTTAATTCATTAATTCATCCATCCATCCATGCATCCACTTATTCATATGAAGTATCTGCTTGTCTTAGGCATAAAAAGGAAGGAGTTAAGGATAAAACCAAAATTCAGTTAAGCATCAATTAATATCAGGTAAGCATTCATGGAAAATATGCAGAATTAAACTTTCTACTTCATTTTCCTTAATAATCTGTTTCATACTCATTTGAACAAGAGAATTCTGAACCAAGAGTTTCCCTATGTTTTAGAAAGGCATTTGATGAAGTTTCTCATACTATTCCTGTAGAACAGTGATATGTGGGTTAAATGATAGTACAGTTGGTTAGATTTTGAACTGTTTGAGTGGCAGCACTCAAAGAGTGGTCATTAATGCTTCAGTATCTTCTTATAAGGAGCTCTCAAATGGAGTGCTCCACTGATTATTGTTTGGTCTCTTCCTGTTTCACATTTATATCTTTGTCTTGGATAAAGGCATGGATGGTATGCTTAAAAACTTGGAAATATCCCGAAGTTTAGAGAGATAGGTAGCACAGTCATGAACCCCAGCGATATTGGCAAGTTACAACATTAGGCTGAAACTAATAAGATAAAATTATCTAATAAGATAGAAGAGATAAATGTAAAATATTTTATTATGCTTCAAAAAATTAATCTCATGAATATAAGATGGGGAAGTGTGGCTAAATCACTATTTATCTGAAAAATAATTCGGGATTTTAATAATTTTATACTTTGGTGTGTGGCCAGATAGCAATTTCATGAGTATAAGATGAGGAAGTATGACTAGATTGCAATTTACCTGAAAAACAATTTGGAATTTAATCATTTTTCCTGGAAGCTTAATATGGGTCAGTTGTTTAATGTGGCAGTCAAGAACTCTGATATGATCTTGAATTACGCTAAGAGAGATAACATAGTACCTAGGACTAAGGAGGTGATAGTTTCCACTGTTATCTGTCCTGGCTAGACCACATATAGTGAATGTGTTGCGTTTAATTTTAGGTATAAATTTTATACCTAACAAAATATATACCTAAATAGGTACCTATATTTTAGGTATAATATTGATAAGCCAGATAATGTCCAACAAATGGTAGCCAGTATGATGAAAGGATTCATTTTTAGCAATGCTATAAAATGATGGAAAGTAGCAGGAGTCATTTTGCTTGAAAAAGAGAAGATTTAGGGGTTATATAAGAGCTGTCTCTGAATATTTAAGAGGTTGTCATATAGAAGTGAAATTAGATTAGTTCTTCCTGGACCCAGAAGGAAGAACCAGTAGCCATGTGTAGAAGTTACAAAGACTTAAATGCAGACTCAGTGTAATGCTCCTAACATTAGAACCCTTCCAGTACATAATGGACTGCTTCCAGGGGGTTGGTATAATGGTTTTCTCTGTTTTCTCTATCTCATCGATCAAAAGCAGTAAGACAACATGTCTGGTATGCTGTAGAGAGGAGTCTTATTCAGATTCAGAATGAACTAGTCAGTCTTGAGGCCTCTTGAACCTCTGAAATTCTGTGAGATTCTTTGATTTTTAAATACACAGTTTAGAAGTATTAAGATCATCTATTTTAATAAAAATTTAATATCAGATTTTTTAAGGGGGGAAATGTTTATCATCTCCATCTCCCATGAATATCTATGAATATCAATGACTCAAGCTATGATGTTTCTTATACATTGGTCTGCTTTAGGATTCTTTCTTTGCTAAAAAGCTTTCAACCATTCTGTATTACCCGCCAAAGTTCCAACTTCTTAACTTGGTATGCAATGACCTTTGTGATCTGGTACAACTCTACCTATTCCACTTTATTTCATGTTACTGGTCACTACAGACTCTAGATGCCACCCAAATTATACCGTATATCCTGTACTCCTGGAATGCCTTTCCTATCCATCTCAGCCAGTTGAAAACCTTGCCATCCTTTAAATTCCAGCTTATATGCTAACTCCTCCATGAAGCCTTACTTGATATCCCTTGTAGGAATTGATATTTTCCTCATTATACTTTTGAAAGTTTAATAAATATTTTTAAAATCTAACAGAATTTGAATCGAGTTGAAAGGAATCCTGACTGAGGCACTACTGCCACCTGGTGACATTATTGTCACATTGTAAGTTCAGGGCTTTTCAAAGGGGAATAAATCTTTTCATGACCTTTGAATTTGCAAACTTAAACTTAGCATACAAGCACCATTAAGTTCAATTCAACAACCATGTATTAAGCATCTACCTTGTGCAGGAATTTTTGTTAGGAGTTTATGTATAGAAAATAAAATAAAACATAGTACCTGTCCTCAAGAAACTTACAATCTAATAGGAAGTATTTTATATGTACATATATATATATATATATACGTATGTATATGTATATATATGTATGTATGTATGTATGTGTATATATATATATATATATATATATATATATATACACATACACACACACACACAAATAGCTATCTATAATACCACAAAGACTGAGATAAATACAAAAGAGAGGTCCAGATGAGACTTCTATAAGAAATTTGAGGACAAATAGATCACTTACAATTGGATCAATGTGAAGAGTTCATGGTGGACATAAGCAGCTGTGGTGGGCCTTGAAGAAAAGGAGGCATTTCATCAGGCATAAAGGAAGGGGGAAGTCATTTCAGGTATGGAGAATGGTTTAACCAAAGGGCAAAGTCAGAAAAGAAGACAATGATTGATGCTATTTGGCTGGAATATTAACTTTTTGAAGAGGGGTATTTTGTGATATTATGGGAAGTTAGGATGAAGCCAGATTATGCATGGTCTTAAATTCTAGAATAAGAAATTTATCCTTACTTGGTAGGTGATAGGGAACCATTGAAGATTTTCAAGAAAGGAATTAATATGAGCAGAATGGTGCATTGGGGAAATTGTTCAGACGTCAGTATAAAAGGTGAATTGAAGAGGGAATAAGCCAGAGGTAGGAAAACCAGTCAGGAAGCTGCTAAAGTATTCTTAGAAAGAGATTATGAGGGTCTGAAATTGTAAGAGTAGAAGAAAAAGGAGAAAACAGGTAGAAGAAATATTACCTTGATAGTATTGACATGATTTGACAGCTAATTCGATGGATGGATAGATGGTGGTAAATGAATTAAAAAGCAGCATCATATACAGTGTTAATGTTTTGAGCGTAGAAAAAAATCACTGTACTAGGGGGGATGATAACTGCTTTCATATCTCTACTTAACTACATACTTGTTGTGTGACCTTTGACAAATCATTTAGCTTCTCTAGGGTTCAGTTCTATGTAATAATACTGGAAACTATCTCTGCTTCCTTGTATTGTTCATAGGAATGGGTTTGGCATTTTTTTTTGTACTCAGTACATGCTTCTTTATACTGCACATACCTGTGTACATCCTTTATTAAAGCTCATCAGATTTGCAAATCAAGCATTATTTCTTTTTGATCACTGTGTCCTTAGCCCCTAGATTTGAGCTTTGCACATAGTTAATACTATCTCTTTGAAGACAGAGGATGGAACCTGATGACTTCTTGAGACCCCTTCTAACCCTAAATTATACAACACTATATAGAATGTTAGTAAGATTACATCTCAGTCTCTGAGGACTTTCAGTGAGATTGGTTACAAAATAATTCTCATAGCATTAATTATATTTTTCTGATTATTTCCATTATAAAAATGTTGATGAAGTCACACACACATCCAACATTAAGATGAGTTGAAATATTTTTCGAAAGAAGGCTTTCAGATTGTAATCTGCCCTGTAGCATACTGGGAGATATGTTATGGAAAAAGCTTTTGAACCAATTTTCACACCCTAGCATTTCCCCATCTGTCTCTTACAAACCCCATATACAGGTACTCTAGGAAGTTCAGAGGCTACAGAATTTAGTTTCAATTGTTCTTTTGTCTGAAAATTTAAAATGTCTAATAGAGCTAAGTTACAATATCACATTTTACCAGTAGGTGTCATAATCTAACTATACTCTGCATTGAACAGCTCTATGTTCAAGGCATCAGACTGTTTAAAAAAAAAAAAGTAATGCGCAACTTTATCATTTTTTTAATTCTGAAAATCAAGTTAAAAAAAACAAGTGTTTTTGTTTTGTTTTGTTTTTTAGGCAATTGGGGTTATAAGTGACTTGCCCAAGGTCACACAGCTAGTATGTGTCAAGTGTTCAGTCTGAGGTCAGATTTGAACTCAGGTCCTCCTGACTTCAGGGCCGGTGTTCTATCCACTGCGCCACCTAGCTGCCCCAAAAACAAGTTTTTTGAAATGAAGGATGACACATATGTATTTTAATACAGTAGATAATATTTAACATATGTCTGTATATGCTTGTCTGATACTGATAGAGATAACTTTAATTATCATTGTTTCATTAGCTATTAGTGCTCTATAATTTCCTAATTTTACTCATTAGAGATAGCTTCTATGGTAAGACTAGTAATATAAAACCTGGAGTACTGCTGAGATGATAGTTAATATTTTAGCCTATTCTAATTACAGGAGAGGTCACAAGGGAGAGAAGAATGGCAGATGACCGGAAAGACGAAGCTAAAGCACCTCACTGGACATCAAGTCCCCTGGCAGAGGCATCTTCCCACCCACATTCACCTGAGCTTAAGGAACAAGCTGGAGCAGGGGAAGGAATAGTCCGGAGCGCCAATGGATTTCCATACAGAGAGGAAGAAGAAGGTGGCTATGGAGATCATGGGCAACAGGGTACCTATTCAAGAACCAAAGAGAATGGGATTAATGGAGAGCTCACCTCAGCTGAAAGGGAAACAGCAGGTAACTAAAGGCTCTTCTTTCTTCCACCTTGATTTCTGATTTGAAATCAATTTTTATCTAAAAAGGACTTAGGCAGCACATTTTCTTTCACTGTTGAGTTTGAAATATAAATATAAAAATAATTATAAATTATTATTCTAGGAAGTGGAAACTGAAAAACGATATAAGGTATAAAGGAAAAGAGAAAATATTTTCATAAGATAAGCTGACTATAACTATATTCTTTACTTCTTCCTCTTTGTTAACTATTTCAGCTTCATTTTATGTTTAGTAGGTGAATGAGTTATTTAGGTGTGACTTCTCAAAAATCTAGTCACTATTCACATCCATCCCCTTTTACTAAGGTCAAAATTTTAGAAACTCAATTTGTATGATTATTTTAGGGGAAAAAAGTAAATTTAGAATCTATGTGTCTCTCATATTTTTTGTAATTTTTGTGACATCTTTCCTCTACTCTTAAGAATCAAAATTAAAATATCCTGATTTTACAATAACTTTTCCATTTTAAAATACTTCCAAAGCCTAATGATGTTGATCATGTTCTTAGATGTTACCTGACATGTCAGCAAACAATAGAATGATAGAAGTCTATATTAGTAATTTGCAGTTTCTTATAAAATCATTCAAACTTTAAGAGTAGAGATAAAATAATCAAATAAATCATGAACCTAAAATTACACAGTATGATGGAGTAATAAAAGTTATGTTAAAATGATGTGTTTAAAAGCCAAAGGCTATTTTTAAATCAGTGATAACTTTATTAATTTCCAAGGATTAAATAATACTATGTGAGATGAAAGTTCCATTCCTTTTCCAAAATTGTGGAGCTGAGAAGAATAATATGCTACTATATATAATTCATACTGGATAATCTACATTAATAATGAGTTCACTTAGTGGCTGAGATCTGTCAATCATGTTACTTTTTTGCCCACAAGTGAGGGGGAACCATTTCCATCCCTGAACCCCACTAAAATGCTGCTCCAAAATTTAAAAAAAAAATGTAACGTACAATTTTTTGGTACAATTATTTTATATATTTCATTATTCTGTGATTCAAATTCAGGGTGGTATATTTCCAAATTTAAGTCATTTGCTTTCTAGCCTGTTGAAACATTGACTCCATAAAGTCTCAAATAACTTTTATTGCTGTTACTATTATTAAAAATATTATTAACAGCTGCTTTAGTGATAATCCACACCTATACCCATAACAGGTAAGTCTGGAATAATTACTAGATTGGGGCCCAATCTGAATTCCAAATGAGATCAAATGAGATAATATATGTAAAGTGGTATGCCAACCTTAAAGTGCTATGTAATTGTGAGCTATTATTCATACTATTATTTCAGAGCCCACTCAGTTACTTGTATAGTAACTTGCATAGGCGCTATTCTAAAAAAAATTAAACAAACCCCAGGCATGCAATAGAAAGAGAATTTGCTTCTCCTGACCATTATCCTGTACCTATAATATACTATTCTCTGTGGTTATTAGAACAGTCACTAGAATTTATTGAGTACGTTCTGGGTAAGAAGCACTATACTTGGTAATGTGGGGAAAATACAGAAGAAAAGGAAGATCAGTTACATTCCAAGTAGAGAGAAAGCACGCACACACACACACACACACACACACACACACACACACACGCACACACACGCACACACACACACACCATCCCCTACAGAGCATCTTATCATTCATTCCACAGTTTTTGAGCATCTACCTGCTTAGTGCTAAGCCACGAACAAGATACATTCCCTGCTCCCAGGGAGCTTACTGTCTACTAGGAGAGATCACAGAATTATAGATGTAGAGTCCTAATACAGGGCCCTAAAAACCATCGAGTACAAGCCCTTAATTAATATATAAGGAAACTGAGTCACAGAGAAGCAAATTGGCTCAACCAGATCCACCAGGTTAGTCAGTTTCTAAGTCAGTATTTAAACCCATGTCTTCCTGACCCCAAGTCAACTGCCCTAATCACTATACCTTGATGCCTCTCCCAAATAAGACATGAACATGTGTAACCATGATGAAAGTCCATTCTGGGGTAATAATTATATGAATAGCATAGAATGAATATAATAGGAGAGCAGAAAAGCAAGACATCTCTTTTTACTGGGATGATTGGGCATGGTATTACACAATGCATGGACATTTGAACAAAGATAGAATGTGAGTAGAATTTCAGTAAGTGAAGATAGAGGGATAGACAGATAGAAAAGCATGTGCAAAGGGACAGAGATGGGGGTGTACAGGTTAGTTTGGAGGAGGAAGAATGGCATCAGAGGAACAACAGATCAGATATATTTTCATTTACTTATTGTAAGTATATATATACACCTAGCATCATGAGATCATGGCTGTTGTTAGAAGGATCTTGGGTGGGCCTATTTTGATTCTGTGTCCTCAAGGAGCTTACATTCAACTGGGGAAAACATTGATAAGTTAATGAAAAATGCAACATACATTATATATAGATAGGGAGAGACAGAAAGGAGAGAGACAGAGGAGAGAGAGAGACAGACAGACAGAGAAAGTAGAGAGAGAAACAGAGACAGAGAGAGAAAGTAGAGAGAGAGAGAGAGAGAGAGAGAGAGAGAGAGAGAGAGAGAGAGAGAGAGAGAGAGAGAGAGAGAGAGAGAGAGAGGAGAGGGAGAAGAGAAAAAGTAGGAAGGAGAGAAAGAGAGAGATATGTATCTATACAGATCTATATAGATATCTATATAGATAGGTAAAATAGTTCTAGTAAAAGGCTGTACTTGAGCTAAGCCATGAAAGGTCAGGTTTGTAAGAAGTGGAGGTGAGGAAAGAAGAGTATTGTAAGACAGGAAAACCAACTGTTTATGCTAGAGTCCAAAAGTGAGATATGGAATCTCATGTATGAATTCCTAACAAGTAAGTTAATTTGGCTGGGTTGTAGAGTGTGTGAGGAGAAGTCATGAAATCATCCGGAAAGAGAAGTTGGAGATTGTGAAGGGGTTTAAATGATGAAAGGAGAAGTTCATATGTATTCTAGAGGCCATAAAGAGCCACGGAAGCTTCTTGAGTGAGTGAGTTACATGATCAGATCTCTCTGTTTTGGAATAGCAATTTGGCAGCTGTGTGAAGAATGGATTGGGGAAGGATGAGATTGGAAACAGAGAGACCAGTTGTAGAACTGGATAAGACAACACCTAGTATTCTTCCTCTCCATGATAAAATCTGCTCTACAACATTTCTGACAGCTTCTGCTTTGAAAACTTCAAGGGGCAGTTATATCATTCCACACAATGCAATCCATTCTGTTTTCAGACAGCTCTATTTGTCTTTTAAAAAATTGGTGGGTTTTTTCTGCCTTGTACTAAGGGAAAATCAGCCTCTCCCTGACTTTGAGTTATTGGTCCTAGTTCAGTTCTCTGAAATTTAAAAAAAAAAAATCTTACTCTATCTTTGACCTGACAGCCCTTCAAATATTTGAACAGAACTATATCTCCCTACCCCAAGCCTTTTTCCCCTACCTAAACTAAACATCTTGCATTCCTTCAAGGATTTCTCAAATGAATGGTTTCAATACCCCTCATTATCCCAGTCACCCCCCTCTAAAGGTATGTCAGTTTGCTTTGAAGAGATTGCTTTATTGGGGATTCTGATTCATAGTATTGGGTGAATTTACTCAATACAACAAGCTCAGGTGAAAGGCTTCATAAGGAGAATCAGCAGTGTAGTCACTTCCTGGGTCCCTGTCTTGATGGCCAGCCTCCAACTCAGGAATTGATATCTCTGTTCAGGACTGCAGGCAGTCATGCATGTTGCCATGAAGGTTGTATGCCTTTAGATTCAAATTTCTTGTGCATGCTTACAAATGAAACAAGCAAGTCTAAACTAAAGCTCTACAAATCTGAATATACTAAGCATGATCAAGTCATACCCAAACTGGATATCTGCATAGGTACAATTCCTTTGGTGCCTTATGGTGCCATCTTTTCAATTCAGCAGTCATTCTAGCTTTTTTCTCTTATCATCTCGCCTTCACACACCCACACACACACACACACACACACACACAAACCACTACCTTGGGGTAAAGGAATCAAGCCTGGTTGGTCTACTTTAGATGTATTTCTCATAACAATATTATGTATGTGGCTTGATCAAGATAGATTCCAATACCCTTTTCTAGGTACTATAGTTTTACTAGGACAACCTAAAGTGGCATTAATTTTTTTGTCAGTAATTTATGTTGTTTATAGGAGCATTGCTTTTAGAGTTTGACGGGATCTTCGAGATTATTTTGACCAACTTCTTCTTTTTATTGATGAGGACACCAAACCACAGAAAGGGGAAGTGGCCAGCCCAAAGTCACATAGTTAGTAAACAAGAAGTACCAGAATTAAAATCATTTTATTTTGATTCAAAATCCAGCATTCTTTCCACTATACCAGATTGCCACATTTGACATTTGTCAATTAAAATTCAGAATAACTACTATTGTCAATTCTTTCCTATCCTTTACACATAGTCTTCCCCCCTACCCAGTATATAAATGCGTGTATATATGTGGGTGTGTATGTATATATGTGTATAAGTATATATGCATATGTATGTATGTGTTGTATATTTATGTGTGTGTGTGTGTGTGTATGCCTACGTACATATTAAATTTCATCTTGTAATTTTAGGTGCATTTTTGCAGCATATTGAATATCTTTTGTATCTCAGTTCTCTGTAATAAGCATGCCTTCTCTGTCTTCATCCATTAATAAAATTCTGGAAGAGGAGAGCACAGGTAACTTGTGGATCCATCAATCTCTGCTCTCAACTAGCCCACATCTCTATGTCTTGAGGGATTGTGAAATGCGTTACTGAAATCTACTGTTTCTGCAACATTCATCCTACCTACTAATTTAGTAACTTTATCCAAAAAAAATTGGAAATAGAGTTAATTTTGCTTCACTTGTTTTAAGTAAATTCATTCTAGCCCTTAGTTATTGCTACTTCCCCTTTCTGAGTG